AGCAAAACAGATAAAAATAGCAGGAACTTGACAGGTAAGCTGAAAGGACTGCTATAAAATTGAATTCAAAGGAAGGTGAGAGAATAAGGTGGTGAAGAGGTAGCCCCTCCCATGGCTTATGTCTTTCTTCTCTCCAGCACTGAACATTCAGACTTAATCACTTTGTTCCACTCAATCTGGGCAGTAGGAAAGGACACGATGTGGTAGGGTGATTGGCTAAATAGTACCTGTGAGGCCTTACTGACCAACAGCATGTGCCAAATTTGAACTTTGCCATCCCTTATGTGGCTGCGAGGTGTATACTATGTTAAATATTGACGACTAATTACTCTTATCACACCACTAGATGCACACATTGATGGCACAACCATTCTGGTTCTAAAAAAGGTTAAAGTACAACTGTTACATTTTTGTTTGTTTGTTGTGCTAATTATTCCAGCCCATTCAATATTATCAAGATAAAGTGTTTGCCTTCATATAACTAAGCTTTCATCTGTACAACATCCCTCCCTGCTTTTAGGGATTCTCAGAAACTGGAAGTCCTGACAAGTACACTTATTTACTATTAACCTGGTCTTACACTTTCAGAGAGGAGAATACAAATAGATGAAGAGCAGTCTCTCTGACCATGAAACAAAAGAGGGTTCTCACATTAAAGGAACCAAAAGCAACTGAGTCTGTTTCATAAAAGGATTATGCTTTTAAAGGCCTAAGTGTAGGAGAGTTGTGAGCTGTTTTGAATTTTCTGCTAGTAAGTGCAAGATGAAAGTCTCAAGGAAACTTAACGAGACACTATTTCTTAGCACTTATTCTCCAGTAGGAATTTTCTTCTCCTTTTCTCCTTTTTCTTTATAAAGCAAGGGCTTTATAGCCTAGCTTTTGTTTCAGAGGCTGAAACCAAACAGAAAAAATGGAGCATTTTCACTATGAATATAAGAAGAATTAGATCTTCAAAAGGGATTGTTGTGTTGCCAAAGAGCCTTTTACCTGAGCATCCAGATTAATATCAAAGGATTATGACTGCTGAGATACAGTTAGCTGAAACCAGGTCTTTTTTCTTTTTCTTTTTTTTTTCTTTTCTTTTGCAGAAAGTTGATTCAAACATTCTGAGCAGAGCAGCAATAATCTTTGATCTGCTTTGTGGACTTCTGTTGCTCACAAATCAAAGAGTTTCCGTACTAGTTTTAGATGATAAATTCCTCTCATCATTGAAACTGTATTCTTTTTGCAGAAAGAACTATATTTATAAGAACACATTTATAAGAACATAAAGCTAAACAATATCACTTATGCTTTTAATACAGTATGAAACTTTGAGTACACTGTGTACTTGAGTTGTACATGTACTTGTACAATAGTTTGAGTACATCACGTTGCAGTACTTTGGCAGTAGGCAAAGTGTATGATGCAAGTCTGAGGGGACAAACCAGGAGGAAGACTGGAAGGAAAAGGTAAGTAATAGACAATTTTGTGTGTGGGTATGGTTTTTTTATTTGTTTGTTTGTTTGGAGTTTCTTCGTAGGAAATAGAAGAGATGAGAAATCAAACAATTTCATGCAATTGGGAGCCTTTCTAAGAGCACACATGAAGAATTCAAAATGGACCTGGGCAGAGTTCAAATTTCATTCTGCTAGAAAAATTTTCATTCTGAATCAAAGGGAAAACCCAGAAATTGTGAAGCATCTGAGCGATAGGAAATTGAGGATGTCTGATTTGTTTTCATCTCATTTCTTTTCATTCCATCCCATCTTTGGAGCCCCTTCTACTGATTTGATTCCTGGCACCCGTTAATATCTACTAGCAGAGTTTCTGATCCTGGAAAAAAAAAAAAAAGCACTACTGAACTATTAGTATGGCTGTGATCCCTAATCTGCAGAACACTGCATCCTCAACTACAACCACATCACAAGCAAGAGTGCTAAGACACCTACTATGAAGAAGGCAGCCTACAAATGGAGAACAAAACAATAAGACAAGGCTAAGGATGCAAGAATCTTCGCTCTAATATCATGGCAGCAGGAATCCTCCAAGCATAAGCTCTGGGTTCAGGCTTCTATGCTGGGACAGTTCTTCTTGAGTTTTTGCAGTAACTTCTAAGTAGTGGTACACGCAGAATCTGCTGAGCAGGCAGAATGCACATCTACCTACAGATTTACCAGATAAACCCATGAATAAAAGAAAAGCCCCCAATCTCTGCAGAAAATAGTACAACATCATTCACTCTCAATGGCTCTGATAAACAGAATATAATCATTAGTTTTGTTACAATGGCCTCAGGAGGTAGGATTAACCGAGATCTTACAAGCCATATTATTTAGCAACACATTTTGATTGTGAGGTTTTTCCTCCTCAGCGACTCAGACTCCATAACATCCACTGTCTGTTTAACAGAAGTGGAGTGCCTGATGATGGACACTTTTAAACTGAGTTAAATTGATGTACGTACAGCTGTTTAAACACTGAAGGCACTCAAGCAACTGCTTAAGCCATTACTGCTAAAGGTACTACACTGTGACTCAAACTCTTAACTAGGAAAGAAGTTGTGTCTTTCATATGATTTTGATGAAACATAGATACTGAGACAGAGTTACAGGGTGGGTACTTCTATAAATATTGTTTGTAGAAAAATTAGTGAGAATTTATACATTTTCAGTCTATTTGGATAACATTTTCCCCAGGCTTTCCAGGTCTCTGTGGTGATTTTTTTCATAATGCTTATATTCCAAATTTAAGGAATGTGATCTACTTGGAAAGGAAAATAAGTATATTAAGCTACAGCAACAAAACCACTAGATTGTAACCTGCTTATGACATAACATTCTTCTAAAACAGCAATGGGCACAGTTTTAATTACCTACAGAAATCAGAACTGTTTCGAAGCAAAACCAGTCTCCACAGAAAAGCGTTCATGTTAGTTGATATTTCTGATGAAGAAAAAAAAAAATCAAAGTCAAAAACTCAGTTTGCTTACAGCATAAAGAACAGAATTACAAAAACAATTCAGCACAAACTTCTCAGCATTTCTAAAGTTTTGAACTTCACCCTGGAAATCCCAGCTATCATTTCTGATCTTTCTTTTTCCTTGGGTGCTTTTTTAGTTTGGGGTTTTTTTGGTTGGTTGGTTTGGGTTTTTTTTTTGTGGTGTTGAGGGGTTTGTTTGTTTGTTTTGTTGGTTTGTGGTTTTTTTAAGTTTGGAGTTTGTGTTTAAAAAGCCAACTCCTTATTTCAGATTGTAATATCTGAATATGATATTGTTCTAATATCTGAATATAATTATGTTCAAATATCTTGTACAAGACAGCTGCTAAAGTAGCTTTTACCCTCCTTTCTCCCACAGTAATTCTTCCATCATGCCTTGCATAGCAGGGCTGCTTCTGTCATGTCACTTGACTTGTAGTAAAATAACCTGACAATGAAATCTTGCAAGAGAAGGAAGACGCTAAGAAGACCAGTCTTCTCCTTTGAAGTCAGGACTGAAAACAGCTAGCTAAGAAAATAGCCAGTGTTTTAAGCTTAGCAATACTATTAACACCACATATTCTTGAAAACAACTCGGAACAAATGCTGATTTTATTACTTTCATATTCCTCACAGGAACATAATGATACAGAATTCATTCTCCTACCCTGTAATATAAATGATGACCCTCCATTAGTCACTAGGTTTTACAAGTTTTTTTTGCACATGGGTAAACTGCACAAGGTTGTTTCTCTGTATAGTTTAAATAATCATGAAACAGCATTTATAAAAGATATAGTCTCTTGATTTGTTTTACTGTCATGAAATGGCTGGCTACATGGAAAATATATGCACAGTTTGTCAAATTGCTTTCCTCCTTCAAAAGATGCAAATGTAATTCTTTCTGATCATTGCTATAACAAATGTCTTTGCTTTTAATCAGAAGGGGTTATCTAGGGTTTAGCTATAAGGACAATAAATGGGCATGAAGAAACTAGCTCTCTGGAGCAGGTTTGTAAATGTTCAGTATTTGAATAACACCTTTTTTTTAGATTAAATAGTTTGGAATATAAATGAAAATCTCTAATATGACATCTGCATAAAGCTAGTATTATTGCTAAAAAAATACATATCCTCATTTTTTATTTCTTTAGACTTGAATTCAGTAAAATACAGGACAAAGGTAAGTAATGAATAGGAAAGATAATATTGACAATTCCAAGTTTGAAATTCACGGATTTCAAAATTTATCCAATTGTAAAATTATCAATTTATCTAATCTGAAATTATCAAATGGCTTCTCATTGGGGCATAGTCAAACGGATGTGGTGTGAGATACAGTTAGCTGAAACCAGGTCTCTCATCGTACTTGGTCATGCACTATAACTTCAAATGGACAAAATGGCACCTTGGGAAAACTGAAATAAGAAGATCTGCAGTGAAAATTAAATAAATTTATAAAACTTATAGTGCCAGTCTCATCATATTATGAGAAAATAAGAAATTAATATTGCGCCATTTCTATCCCCCCCTTACAATCTTTGTCACAATCATGAGGTGTAAAAGTCCTTAATACACAGAATTAGTAGGAAGCTAGTCAGTCCTGATTCAGTCTCAGAGGCTTTCATGAAAAATCTGGTAAGAAAAAGCTCATTATAAGCTTCAACTTGAATTATCATTTAGAGATCTTGTATAGTATGGTGAAATATGGTGGCACCTTGTCACAATAATAGTTATAAGAATGACAGGTATCACAGACAACACTAATTTGGTTCTTGTTGCATTGTATAAAGATAGTAAGAATGGCATTGTTTTCAGGGGTGAAGAAAAAAGAACCTTATCAAACCTTTCAGCCTTGCAATCACCTTTCCTGTAATGAGCCAAAGCAGACAGAAAGAAACTGCTTTGAAATGAGGTAAATAGTCTTAACAGCTGTTCAGAAACATATTCGACAGCTAAAATTTGGTGCATAAAACTAATGGTGTACCACTGACTCCCAGCTGCAGAGCAGACAGATGGCAGCATACGGCCATACATTTGCGAAATGATGTGGAATTTCAACACTGGCCATCTGACCCAGGACCCCAGGGACTCACAGGAATCCTATACAAGTTTGACAGTGAGACATGGTGTCTCACCATGGCTTCATGGACTACTTACAGGTAAAAAAAAAAAAAAAAGAGGCAGAAAAAATCTGTCTTTACTGATACCTTCTGAGAACAAAAATATAGGTAACTGGGGAGCAGACTGCAAAAAGAAATTACAAACTTGACATAAACCAAAAATGCTGCTAATAATGCCCCACCTACATAAGCACAAAGATATATTTGTAATTATGGTTCTTTTTAAGTGGGATATCTGTCTGCATATGGTCTTATGACAAAAATTACAAAAGTAGAATAACATATGGTTTCAGTTTGAATCCATACATTTACATTAAAAGGGTTTTTTTATTAAAAAAATTTTGAGTGTTGATACAGATTTTCAGTAATTTCAGTGCCTTATGCACCTAAAGCAGGAATTCATGCTGGAGACATTTCAAACAAGAAGGACATGTGCAAGCATGTTCAGGAACATCACATGGGACTGTCAGTCTCCAGTAGAATATTGTCAAGAACTTGCTGCAGCAACTATTGATAACTCATGTATCGGCAACTAGCAGGTGTGCAGAAGGGTTAGGTATTACTAGTGCCCTCAGTGAGATTAAAACCAGAGCCTGTCCCATACAGATAGGACAGAACTGTTACAAATATTTAGTTAAAGTCTGTATCTCATTCAAAGGCAAAAAATAATATAGAAAGCCTTAATAAGTTAAGATTGATTATTTCCAGTATTCAAAAACCCCAGCTACTGGAAATGTCCTTTTGACATTATAGAGCTTTTTCATGTGTTGAATGTAGTTTACATGGCAATAGATATGTGAGTATTCACATGAAATAAGCATATGAGAATTTTTCAGATTTGCACACATGGAGTCCAGGGTGAAACAGCCTGAGATTCCTCTTCTAAGAGCAATCTTCACAAAAAGAAAGACAGCTAGAAACAATATTTTCTGTTCTGTTTTCCGTCAGTTCTGGTTTCAGCCCGGTGACCTGGCTGGCTGTTTAGACACTTAAGTCATCACAGTAAATACATCATGGCTTACTGGGTATGGAAGAAAGGAGAAGAAAGACTATATAACCTATTGCTACAGCTGTGTAACAATTAAGAGAATTTGGTTTCAATTGCGCAGACTACAGTGGCTTACAGCTACTGTGTTGTTCAGGAGGCTGTCTTTGGGAATAAACCTATTCCATGGTTTTGAATGTCAGGATTAAATTACTTTTATTGCTTTGGGAATCTTCATCCTTAGACACTGTGAAACTGTTTCACACTTGCATAAGACTTGGAATGAGTCCTAAGCTAATTAATCATCGTGGTGTCATTTAAGCTATCCAGCTGAATTTAGTGCTAACTAAAGGCTTTGCCAATTTGTTTGCCAGAATGCAGGCAAAATACAGGTAGCAATGTCAGGAGCTGAGTTCCTGTGTCTAGTTATTTGATGGGTTGGTTATATTTTTAAGCTCTTTTTTCTTTTGTTTTTGTTTTGCTGTTTTGTTTTCTTAGCTTGTAATTTACATGATAGACATCAAAAAACATTTCATCTAGTACTTAGCTTCCAAGTTTTGCTACTCAAGTTGCCCTTCCTAAGTCAGGTTTTTCAAAGGTAACTGCTGTTGCTCTCTGCTTCCCGCTGACATGTAGCACAGCTAGTTGACTTTTCAAAGCTTTTCTAGGTGAGCATGGGGCTCTGAAAGCTCTTCGTAAATGGCAGCAGAGTGTTTCTCAGGGTGCCCTCTACTACTGACAAAAGCATGCTTGGAAGAAATCACTCCCTGTACCTACTCTGATTTCCAAATTGGGCATGGGTAGCCACTTATACTCAAATACACCGCTGAAATCAATGTGACTCCCCTTTCCTTATCTTTTAAATAGACATAAACTCTGAACTGCCGTATGGGCAATTCAAATGCACAGTGAAATGGGTTTAGATGGTAGGAACAATCCAGCTGAGGCTCCTCCACTATTAGCTTAAATGCACAGGCATCTGCCTCATAGCAGCATATACTCAAAACCTGTTATGCAGATTGATGTAATCTATGTCCTTTTCTACATTAGCAGTAATTTATGAATTCTTACCTTTTACTAATAAACGTGGCTTCAGGAAGATAAAGCAGGCAAGGTAGAAAGGTAAGGAAACTTCCTGTATGTCCAAAATTGCAGAGGAGATAGCATGGGCATACACAGAGCTGAAATAATAGAACAGAAAGAAATCCAAAACTATGACAATGTGAGTTGGATTAGCCACTAAAATTATTCAAAGTCTATCCTATTTCTATCAGCCTATCTGTGTAAACGAGGGATAGAAAGGTGGGCAGATTTTCTACAACAAAGCTTTCACTTCCCAAATATCCTTCCTTTAGGTCAGTTGCACCAAAATAACAGGAGGGGAGGGACTCCATATTCTGTGGAATATGGAATAGGTCAAGGTGACACTTTTGGATAGAGCTGGAATTGTTTAGCATACATCTGATAAAGTGCATAGTATAAGAAAACAATTTCCATGTTGTTTCTCAGCTGGCTGCTAAATTATTTCTGCCAATCAGACTAATGAATGCACTGGGTTACATTTCTAGTCCTTATTTATATAGTTATCCCCTCATAACCCTACTTTAAATTAATCCCCATTTATATCCTCATTTTAATAGCATATCTCACAGATGCCAATTTTTGTATTTAAGAAAGCATTCCAAAAATGAACCAGCAAAGACGCAACAGCACAGAAAGAACGTTTCACAGGAGACTATTTTGAAACATATTAGCGAAAAAATACAAAAGCAAACTTTTTCATGGTGTAGTTATCATGCTGCAATTCCTGCATGAGCTGAAGATTGAAGCAGCCTCTGTATACTCCATTGTGTGAAGTACCCTAATTCTCTTAGGATGGCAATGCCATGGTTCAGATGATAATGCTGCAATAGCTTTGCTTAATTTCTTATGGTCATCCATCCATATTATTTAAATAATAATGTATATTTTAAAGTAATTGTGCTGATGTGTTAGAGGAGAATAACATTACCGAAGCTCTGTATCAAACCACTGAATCTGGCAGTGCACATAAGCCAGCAGACTTTCAAATCTCACAGGCCTTTTCCTTGAGTTTGATTGATGAGCATGGCTACAGTGGCAGTCAGGCAGTGGCAGGATACACAAGCTGTCTGAACAGCATGACAAAGAGGGAGCTGAACTGAACTGGAGCAGAAACACATCCCGAAGGGACAGGGTCAACTGCATAAAAACTAAAACGGCTCTTTCTGCCTGATTTTTGTCCCTGTGGCCACCATCATAATAGCATGCACTTTTTTGAAGGAGTAACATTTTTTTCATAGAACCAACATACATATTTGCATATATAGAAAAGAACTTTTGCCCTACAGGTTATTTTGGGTAATATACTTTATTTGCTTCTTACAATTCCCCCTTAATAGCATTTCATTATCTGTCTGGCCATACTGAAACACTTCTGCCACCTTTTGAAATTCTCTTAATTGTAGGCATCTTCCTCTATGGGTTCATGGCCAAAGCATTTTGTACTTCAGACAGCATCATGAATCTTACATCTATACTTATGAATCAAGGCAGGATGGTAAAATATCTGTGCAACTGTTTTGTTTGTAGCAGAAATTATAGTATATAAACTACAGGTCAAAGAGATAAGTTTAAAGTGAAAACAAAGGACTGAATTATTTGGATAGTTACAGCACATAATACTTACTGCCCTAAGGAAACTTGGGAGAATGAATAAAACCGCTTTCCTTCCTTTGATGTTGGGAATTATACATAATATAATTTAAAAATGGTAGAATCACTCAGCAAGTTTTGTTCTTCTGGCTGTGTCAGCTTTTTCAGTGCCTTGGCCTGAAAGCTATTTTTACAATGTATTTAAGTGAAGAGACTGACAAAGAGTGTAGATGAATCTGAAGACAGACTAACAGCCATATGTATTTTTTACGAGTGAGTAGTCGCCTATAGTATTTGGCTGTATTTTACTTTATATCCTCTTAAGAGTTTCATATAGCTAGTCTAAGAATAAACTGACACAGACTCCTCAAGTTTCTGACAACAGTTTAGAAGTGACCTAACATTTTCAAGCTATATGAAAAATGCAATTCACATTTTGTATATTTCTTGAATATTTTTTTTCTATGAATGAGATTATTCTACATGAATGCAATAAAAAAATTAGAATACTGTAGATAGATAAAACTGAGTGAACAAGAACTTCCTTCTACATTCCCACTATACTTACCCCACCCCAATTTAATAGGAGTAATATTTTCTCTAGGAAACTTTTTAGCCTGCAAAGTATAACCATATTTGAGATTTTCTCTTACCTTATCTTACTAAAAATGCTATGTAAGCCGAAATCATCTTCTAAAACTCAGTCTATCATCCTGGATAGTTATATCATTCTGATTATCACACTATCTAAGAATCTGTTTAATAGTAAAAGCCATTATAGGCTACTCATTTGAAAAACAGTGTATTAAAAATCCAGTTACAAAAACCAGTAAGATAAAACTCTATTTTCCATGGATTTTTTTTTTTTTTATTATTATTCCCCTCACTTTATAGTTTGGTATGTACAGAAACACTGCCATTAGTGTCAGCATCCAATAAAGCATTTTTAAGTGTTTTCTTGGAACTGAAAATCATCTAGTTTGTACCTCAAAAATTTGCAAAGGAAGATGAAGAATGAACCCAAAGATTCTGAAGTTATTCAATATTCACTCGTGATATTTTGGCTATAAGCATAAAATGCTTCCAAATTATTAGGAACATTTCATCGTTCTTTTGCAAAGGTGCACGCTTTCAATTTTAAAGATTCAACATATTTGTGAGCAGTGGTAATTTAAAATAACCTTTCTGTTTTGAATCATCCATATCAATTTCATATCTAATACTGTGTGTGTCTTAACCTTGAAGTAATGGCTGTTGATAGAAGAGCTGTAGGACATCTGAAGAAAACGTAAAGCCATCAAGGGAATGTTTTTAGGCTCAGGCTTAGGCTGTGGCTCATAACTACATTTCTCTCCAAAAAGAAAACCCCAAGTACTTCTTGCTGCAATCAGCATATATTTTTCATCTCAAATGAGATGCCCTATTTGAATTTGATTTTTGTGAGTACTATCACCAACATCCTCCCCTGAGTACAGAGAAAACAATAACTTTTCATATCAGAATTTAATATCCAGCTTTGTACTAGTATAACTCTATGTGGTTATGATTAATGATCTACCTATTGCATTTTTATAAGGGTTGGAACTTCGATGTATCAGGTAAAATACTGGCCTCATTGAAGACAACAGAATTCCACTTAAGTTTTAGAATTTCATCCACTGTTCTTTGATTTCACGTTGTTCTTGATTATTCTTTTGTTTGAGTATTCGGAACATGATACGGATAGATGAAAAATACATATTTTTATCTATTAATATTATTTTAGTTAAGCTGCAAACAACTGTTGTTTTTCTAAGTGTTCTTACTATGTGCAAAGAAATCTGGATTTCAAATATCTGTCAAAATCATGTGAAAGCAACACACTGAGTTGATACTTCTCTTGCGATACTTTCGATACATTCATAAATAAAAGTATATACAAGTTTCAGCAATTATGTATTCATATATTTAAACATAAAAATGCATTTTGAATATTTGATTGTGCCATGACCCAAAGATTAGAAGTTTAATTTTTCTCCAAGCCTGAAAATTCTTTAAACAGTCTTCTAGAGATCACAGGTATTCACTGGTAATAATGTCCAAACCGTAAGGCTGTATTAGCTGTGTTAGATTAGCCATCTAAAGAAAACTTAAGCATGAGCATTTAGACAAGACTTTGATGCCATAGAGGAGAGACTGACTGATCTTAAATCATACTATACTGTAAAAGAAGTGCTCAATAGCAAGCATCAGAACAACAATAAATCCCTGCTGACTACACAATCTCAGCAGCGTTACTAACATTTCTATTTCTGTACATAGTACATCCGTAACAGTTGGTTCAGTGCTGCCATCAGAAGAAAAGTACCAGAGCTACAAAAAACATTTTTACTGAACTGCCTCATTTTATCAGGATTTGAATGCTTTCCTTCCCAATGAAATGCTGGATTTGTCAGGGAAGAATCATATCAAATGACGGGCAGAAACGTGTGTACGCGTGTGCAGTTGACATGGAATAGCAAAATATATAAACAGTAGTTTGTAACCGTAACTATCACATAGAGTAGATTAGCAGCTGAAATTGTAAAAAGGCATACTAGAACCCTGACATCAGTCTTAGAGAAGATATCCAGGGAGGTTTGCAGAATCCCATTTCATGCTTTTACTTGCAAGAAGTATGTACACAGAGATAAAAAGCTGGCATGCTTCTTCTTCCTTCCAACCTGACCAGCTCTAATGGAATTCTGGCTATCAATAAAACAAAAGGGTGATTGAATTTTTACACTCTTCATGTGAGAGTTAATAATAGAACATAAAACCTCTATCTTTGATCATGTTCCAAGAGAAAGTCACCCTGCATTTTAAGTTAAATAAATATTTGATGTCATTCCATTTAAATTTTTTTTATATACACTATCATTTTGTAATAATAATTTCATTTCAATTTGATTAGATGTGCTTCAGCTTATTGTCATATTCATTAACCACATTCACTGCAGTGGGACTTTTATGCTAATCTGTTTGTTTGGATTAATTTCTTACAGTCAAAAATTGTAGGAAGAAGTGAAGTGCTCTCTCTGCAGTTTACGGATATGTAATTTGAGGAAATCTAGGTCTGAATCAAAAGCATGAACTTGAGATTACCATCCCTGCTGTTAACATAGGTGTAAAAAAACCCAAGCTCCAGCAAAGTGCTAGCCTGATGGTACTTGCCATTACTTATCATGATTCACAAAATTATTTTCTGGCCTTACATATCTTTAAGAAACAGTTGGGTTTTTAAAACACCATCATTTTTTCATAAGCCAATGAGTAAGACTGAAATTTAGAGCCTCCCAGGAAACATTCCTGCCATGATCCAATTCTCAAAAGAACACATTTACGATATGAACTCCTCAATTTTGTTTTTCTGCTATACATTTTTTGTGAAAATCCTCAAGACTCCCTGGAGCGTTCTTTTCCTGTATTTCTGTATTCACATGAAGATTCTCACCTTTCATCACCACTTTTGCAACTGAAGCTAATAGGA